ATTTTCATCAATACAAGAACCCCCAGTCCGGACGCCCGGGCAGAGAGTGAAAAGTGGACATGTGCGGGGAAAACAGGACAGTCACGCTAGTTTAATATAAAGCGGGAGGTGACAGATACTGCCTTGGGCCCTTTAGAGTTCGTGGGCCCTGGGCAAGTGCCCAGTTGCCCATATGGTTAATCCGGCCTTGCTCCTAGATAACTTTAGCCTTCAATGACTTCAAAAAACGGGGTCAGGATAGCATTAAAGTTGGTCTGTGTCATCACACCCCCAGTTTGGTAAAGATGGAGTATGCCCTAATGGTGAGATGTGTAATTTATTGGTGGGCTCAGAGGAGATGCTGAGTCAGAGTGAGGTGCGGATGAGGAGACCGTTCGCTGTTTCTGATGTTGGGGTGGTCGACGTTTATGTTCCGCGGACGTGACCGGGTGCACCGGGCTGCCAGCCAGGCCGGAGCGGTGCAGAGCTGCGAGGGCCGAACGACGCTGCTTGCAGCTTTAATTATTTATTGTGGCAGAAGCGAGTGTGGTCCACTGGAGAAGCTGCTCTAGCTTGATGACTTTAATTATTCTACTGGTTATTGTTCAGCCTTCTGATACTCACACACACACACACACACGAGTGTTGGTGAGTGGCTGCGTCTGACTGCTGACGCTCAGTGTGTTTTTATTTCTGCAGTGAGACAAACTCACCTCCCACCGTCCAGAGTTTGCTCTTTAAAGCTTCTATTAAATCTACCATGTTGACGTATTTAACACGTTTCCTCTACACTGCAGGAGTTAAAGTTTACATTATGGAGTAAAAGTTTGGCAGACACGTTTGTTTATATCTGGGTGGGGGGAGGGGGGACGGTGCTGCACACAGACAGCTGATGCGATCAGCTCTGAAAATCGTTGAACACAATTTGCAGATCACGTTCATTTTTCACGGAGATTCCTCTTCCGTCTGTATTCTAGGAATTGAAACTAGGAATCGAAAAAAAAAACTTTTAACGATTCCGGGAAACACTAACAGTTGGAACCAGTTCCAATCGATGCGCGATGCCCAACCTAACCATGAGGAGTATTTTGTAAACCCGTTTTTTTTTTTTTTGCTGGTAAGTATTGCTTCAGTCTATGCAGAATGAGATCAAGACAATTCCAGCAAATTTTAACTAGTTTGTCAAAGGTCAGACAGAACCCTGGAGCAAGGTGACCAAGGTCAGTTAATACACAAATAACCCAACACGCTTATCTGAGGTTGAGTCACGAGGGCAGCAGCCTAAGCAGAGAGGCCCAGACTTCTCTCTCCCCAGCCACTTGGGCCAGCTCCTCAGGGGGAATATCTGTAATAAATTAACCACGATGCTTGAGAGCCAACAGATATAAAACAGTCCAAGAGTGTGATAAAGATTTATTATAAGTTTACTTTTTACATTTTTCAGTTTTTTTAATAAAACAGAAAACAAAAACTATTTAGCAAAACAGGACAGAATGGTTATTAAAGCACTAGGTTCACATTTTCTTCCAAAACTCCCCAAACAGCTGTACCGTTGGTGACAAGACAATCTACGCTTAGCGACGGAAGACGGTTTGCTGCTAAATGAAATAGCCAATCCTAGTAGAACTCCTCTAGCCAAGCAGAGGTGAGAAAGGTGGAATCTTCCTTGGACATCCTACGATTCCAAATTATTCCAAACGATTCTGGTGCGGTTTCCCGATGAAAATGTTCCGTTTTCCTCCAGGAGTAGGGTTCTAATTATGTGGAAGCTGGATATCTTACACATCCAGGGACAGCCTGGAAAAAGATCTTGTTTCTACCTAAATTAAATTATTTATATGGACTCTCAGCGTACCAAGGATTATTTTGAGTGGAGAACACGGAGAGTAGAGCACTGACTGTTGATGTGTCGTGTGCAGGACCCTTGGGTCCTGCACACGACACTGTCTCAAATTGGCGGAACCAAAAAATTATAATTAACCATCGATATATACTGGACCATATACAGGACAAATAATGTCCATAGGCTTAAATTTTATGTTTTTGATTTAAAATGGGAGGTTCCCACCACCGCCATTTTGACCGTGTCACATGTCTTGTCATGCTCAGAAAATCCAAAAATGGGAAAGAAGGTGGAGCTGACGGTGGAGTTGTTACGGCTGGGACAAATGAACCAATGTAGCTACTAGCTAATTTAGCTAACCCAAGAAGCGAAAGAGAGGCTCTGAGGACCGGGGTCGCCCACCCGCATGGCCGCCTGGCTTCCATGTGAGGCTGTAGACATGCTAGTCGACTGTGGAGATCAAATATGGATAGGGACTATTAAATTACAAGCAGAGCCTCAGACCGCTCCAATCGTAGCTGGGCGTCGTGGCCTTTTACATCACCTCATGTTCCACTGTGGGAGATCAGAGACATTAGCTACATGCTAACCCGTAGTTAACCAAGCTGTTCTGGGCGTTCTTAGCAAAAAAATCGCAGTGGAGCGACTCAATTCAATTTCAATTCAATTAAATTCAATTGCAAAAGTAACGAATATATGGCCAATCATAACTAGGTAAGCTGATTGAGGATATCAGGCTTCACTGGTCCATCACAGGAGTGTCGACAGTGCCAGGACCGTCGACAAAGGCGGACTCCCAGATCTTTGACCGCGGCGGAACAACAGAGCCTGAATGTCTACTTTGTGAAGTGCACTGAGACGAATGCTGTCGTGATTTAGCGCTGTATAAATAAACTGAATTGAATTGAATATGACCGTTTTTACAAAACAATGTCGTCAATTTGCTGCAACGCCATGGCAGCATCAGGGAGCCTTAGGTCATATAGAAGTGGTCAGAACAAGGTGGTAATGTGGCATTTGTCATTTGTATAAAAGATTAGGCAATGGCGGCATAAAGGGGATATGGGGCAGTCTCTGCGACTTTGGTTTATCTTGGACATAACTTGCTTTTTATTGCAGTTGAAGCAGCGATCATGAAGCTTTTTTAAAAAGCTGCTCCTAAAGGTGTCTGTCCCCATCAGTCCCTGAGCTGTCTCTGATGATCTGAGCTTCAGCTCTAACAGAGAAACGCTCAAGAGTGCTGCGGCACTCCAGTTTGCCTTGTCAGCCGATTTTGTTCAAAAAGTAAAACTTATTGCCCGTGTTAACCATCATTTTTAATATATTTGCCAGCCAGACCTCTGCATTAACTCCCCACGTCATCGTGGCACCTGCCTTTGTTGCGTCATGGAGCAATAGCTGTTTATAATACAGACCATTACCACAACATTACTACCAAGCAAGGTGTAACAAATATCTCAAAATTCCACGGCGGCAAAGCGCGTTTATAAGACACTGTGTTGCTGTAATATTACACCGATTTGCCAGCATTATTTGTAAGGAGGTGTGTAGAGAGGGCTTTTGTAACTCGACTTTCATTACCCAGCAGCCACACCAACACATTATATTTCAACTCATCTTAGACCAAGCAGTGTTATGGTAAACACATAGTTTTCCCCCATTCAAACAGCAATTAGCAAGAGAAGTGCAGCTGAGTGACTCAAACGTGAAGCAGCGTCAACTACAAGAGCTGAGGTGTTTCTATGATCCCCCTTAGAGATCCACAAGTTAGCGGTCTGACTCTGCATGTCACAGGAAACGGGAATAGCCAGCTGGGCACTCGCTCAAGTTTCTTATGCAGCCCCACTAACATATTTGACCAAGCAGGTAAATGACACAGTATTTCCCTCCATTCAACCAGCAAAATAAGGTACAAGAATATAATTTTACTTATTGATGAAAAAGCAGAAACGCTCGAATGAGCCGTCTGTGCAGTCAATACCCACAGCTTGCTCTCTTTGTCCAAATAATTCTTGGAGTCTGCAGAGAAAAGAAAGCTTAAGCACAAAGTTAAAAACTATTTAGCACAGTTTGAACTGTAATGCTCTGCAGCAGACACGCTTTAGTTTATATTCACATTAATATTCATATCCCTAACTATCTGAACAGCGTTCCTTTCTTTAAAGTATTTAATACAAATTTGCATAATAAAAGTAACATTTAAAGTAATGGCTTTACTGCTTTCAGAAAACAAGAACAATTTCGTACTTTTATGGAAAAAGTTAGCCGATAACATTTTCAATATAATCTAAAAGTGCAGTTTAGGCCGTCATTTCCACTAAGCTAAGTTAGCTCCTAGCTTAGCCTACTTTACATTAAACACAAGAAAACACTTATTTTGTTGTCAGATTTAACTCTACAATGAAATTTAGTCTTGACAGTTCGATAGAACATATGATGTGATACCAAATGTGCTTATTATCTCGGCTTTCCACTGGCCGTGAAAGCGGTCGCATAAGGTGATGGCGTCATTCTACCTGCAAGCTCATTCCCAACCAGGAGCAATTCTGACACTCTGATCCTGTGATGTCCCAAAATGACAGGGGAATTGCAACACAAGTGATTTCAGACTTTCACACACAATAAAAACAAGAAAGACAGCTGCATGCATACAACTATGTCCCTGGGTTACTTTCTATTCGGTTTACGTTGGTCACCAAGTCCACAGGAAATGGCAGACGGCACGCCGGACGTTGTGTTCGACTTCGGTCTAAACTTCGAAGTTTGATGTGTTTTGGAAGGGTAGCGCATCAAAAATAGACTCGAAATATATAATGGTGTGCCCTCGCTTCTGGGGCGCGTCAAAACCGTGACACCTCGCTGCTGGTGGAAAGGAACTCATCCACTAGAACGGCAGTGAATTACTGCGTGGTACATTTTGCAGCCTGTTAGGGACACTTCGACGTGCAGTGGAAAGGATGGGTCACTCTCCAAACATCCTGCATCTTTGAAAGCCATCAGTGGGCGGAGCTGTCTAACAAGCCTGAGTCGGCCTAAATCTGCGGGCTCCGGGTCTGCAGAGATGTGGGTTATAGGAGCAGCTCCTGCTGAGATGGCGAGGAGCTTAAACATGCACAACGTCAGACTCAGACTGGGATTCACTTCCTTTGCGCCAAACCCACACAAGGACAGAGACCGCTTCTGTTCATCAGGGCTTAACTTTATTCTGACCTTCACCAGAATGAAACACAAATATGTTTAAGAGCCACACGTTCTCATGTTTCTGTAAAACGGGCCTCACAGAGCCACAAGAACCAGCCTTTAACCCACAGCCATTTCAAAGTATACAATTATCAACATTTGGCAATAAAAGTCCTTCTAGGAGCCGTTTTTCATAAGGAAACAGGAAAAGTCGTATGCCAGTGACTGATGCTGATGGAGCTCAGGATTTTTATTTCCCCCCCATCAGTCTGATCAGTAGGACCATCTGGACAGACAAGTTCTCATGTATGGAAGTGCTTTCATATGGTTGCTCCTCTATACACCTTCCAAATGTGTGGAGTTGAACTTTTCACCAGGAGCTGTTCTAAGACGAGCTCACTGATCGGTTTGGAGCTGGTCTCAGACACGAGGAAAACTTCTGTTCTGTTAGAAGTGAAACACTAGCAGTTGGGTTATCGTTCATATTCTAGAGGTGCAGCAAATGTTAAACCTTCTGCCCATTTCTATGCTTTTAACAAAGCTGTGTAGAATACATCTTCATTTAAATAGATTTTATAAAGAAACTGTAATTAAATGCCAGGTTTAAAATTTCAGTTTTATTGCTTCGTACCCTTTTGTTGACACTAACGATAATAGTTTACTAGGAGTGGTCCTCTCAGGGTAAAGCCACAACTCCGTTAACACCACATTCCACAGAAGACTGCTGCAGTGGAATCAGACCACGGCGCACAAACAAGAACTCGACCTACAGATGGGACATTTTTATTGATGCATCAGATGAGGAAGGTAAGAAATCAGACTGCAGCATCCCAGGTGTGTGTGTGTGTGTGTGTGCGTGATTACAACTCTGAAACCTTTAAACTGGTACATTTTCCTCCTTAAGAAAAGGAGGGTAGCGCTGATTAACAAGCAATGATGCTGACAGGTGAGAGGATCAGCTGTTCATTTAGCACTGAGCACATCTACAGGGTGGTTTATCAGTACATTACACACGTTTTCCCTCTCCAGATCATCTGTACAAAAGGTCGGGCAGAACCGGGCTTGGAGGGTTAGGGAGTGATGATGGGAAAAGAACCAACTTGACATAAGAGGATAAATCTGAATCAGCTGCCCTGCTCACCAGGAAAAGCAGTTGAGTGATGGTGAAACTCTGATATTTAACATCCCAGTGACTGGAGCAGAGGGCATGGACATTCATTTACCCCACAGAGAAGATGAAGCACGTCCTTTACAACAGACAGGTTTCTTCTCAGGACCATAACTGATTTTCTAAGTCCTTTCCCTTTACCTCTCCTCTCCAACATCTTTATGTCTCCCCAGTGAAATTAGAAAATGCCAGTTCAGTCTAGTGGGTCAAAGCAGAATTCTGCACTCAACTGTGACTAGCCTACTTTCTATTCAAAGATTTGAGACGAGACATAAAGAAGACAGGAAGGCTGGGTCATCGTCGGGGCGGTCATTTAGAAGATCTGCGTAACATATCAGCAACATCGGGTTTAGCTTGGAGAGATCAAAGAACTTGATTGGAACTACCAACAATGAATTAGTAGGTGATAGGTTTCAGTGACAGATCTTTCCACTCTGAGAGACACCTGGACTTATTTGGACTCACAGCCATGAATACGGCATGTTGACGTTTTCTGTGATGTTCTGCTTTAGCAATAAAAAGTCAAATCAAACAACAATCAGAGTTCTCTGATCCCGTGAGTCAGGGCTGAGAGCCGCCTTGGCTATCGGGGTCTGTTCCCGAGGAGCTGCTGTCCGAGTCCGACTCGTTGTTGTTGCGGTCATCCTCTGCTAGGCTTTTCTCCCGTATCCTGTGGTGGGTGGCACGAAGGCGAACCAGCAGGCTCTGGTAGTCAAAGCGACCACGCTTCTCCCCAAACGGATCCTGAAACAGGCAACGGGATGAAAGAAGCATGGGTGAAAATCACAGCATATGCTCTGTTTACTCAAACCTGCAACATCAATAAAACCCCTGGAATGAACTTAAATATGCCACCCAGCTCCTGGTGCAATCTACTGTCATCTCCCACCTCGATTACTGCAATGCCCTTCTAACTGGTCTTCCAGCCTGTACTGTGAGACCTCTTCAAATGGTCCAGAACTCAGCGGCGCATCTGGTCTTCAATCAGCCAAAAAGAGCACACGTCACCCCTCTGTTCATTGAGCTCCACTGGCTACCGCTAGCAGCACGCATCAAATTCAAATTGCTAGCACTAGCATACAAAGTCCGAGATGGTACGGCTCCCATCTACCTGAATCCACTTGCAAAGGCTTACGTCTCGGCCCGGCCGCTCTGGTCATCACAGGACCGTCGGCTAGCAGTGCCTACACCACGCTCAGGACAATCCAGACTCTTCTCAAGCATCATTGCACAAATGTGGAATGACCTACCAAGCACTACCAGAACAGGGGCTTCCTTTTCAATTTTCAAGAAACTCCTGAAGACCCTGCTCTTCAGAGAGCATCTTCTTAACTAGCACCTTCCCTGCACCCGTCCCCCCTCTCTACTGTCCACTCCTTGTTCCCTACTCTCCATGACTGATGTCAATTGTAAGGTTATGAAGTTCATTATTTTCAGCTCCACACAGCTGCCCCTGTGCACAGTAACACCCGTGTAGAAAACGCCAAGGTCGGGTGTTCCTCAGACTGTTTACATTCCAGGAGAAGAGTCCGAAGGAGAAGAAGAACGCTTTCAATAATCAAAGTACTTAATTTGTGATTAAAGCTATTCGAAACAGATGTTGATCAATAATAATCAAGTGAATGATCTGTGAAATAAATATGTCATGATTTATGTTTAATGAAAACAGGACTACTGCACAGACAGACTGACCCTCATCTCCATAGAAACGCATGACACATTGCTCCAACCAATCAGAGCCTTCGGCTGCTGCAAGAGAATCTGGTGTTGACTTAAAGTGTCCAATCCCGTTTACTGAAACTTAAAACAATTCAGAGATATAAAACAAGGCAACGCCATTTTAAGTCAGTTCCATTTTGACTTCAGTTCTATTCACCGTCATCCCAAAGAGAAGCACAGACTGGCCAGATGTGTTTTCTTCTTTAAACTAAGAACTGTGAAGTTGGAGATTTTCGTCGTTTAACAACCAGACGACATCCTTTCAAAATAAGAGCACCCGCTGACGCTGCTGATTGGTACCGGGGTCGACCCTTCAGACGGGCTTTGACGTGCTGCGATCGCTGCTTCGACAGCTCCAGCGTACATCCGAGGTTCTTGGACCTGGCATTTCCTGATCTACCTGGGAGGCCCCCACTGGGTACGTACACGGCAAAATAGCGGCTCATGTCATCACTTTATAAGCCTCGTGATATCTAGTCATAACAAAGACGACCAGATTCAATGACGTCAGCCTAAGGAGTCTGAACCAACCACACACACACACACACACACACACGCACCAACACAACATCCAAATCCATTTTCATCCATCACAGAGTAGTCCTGGTAGATTGTTTAGAATTTATAATTACGAAATTAAAGATTCTCAAACGATCCCAACTCTCTCTCTTTTCTTGTCTCAAAGTCAATACAGAGTGTTTAAATGAACTCCCTGATGATAAAAACAACATATTCTTCTGATTATAATAAAGGGATCTACTTACAGTGTATTAAAATACAACTCTAGATAGTTACATCACTTCAATTCCGTTACACAATGTTGACACACACACACACACACACACACACACACACACACACACACACACACACACACACACACACACTTCCCCATGGTAAAAAACACGATTGACTGAGATCAGATGAGCCAGACCAGCTAAGAAAAGGATAAGGAAACACCATCAGGGGAGCCATCCGCCCTGGCAGCAGCAGCAGATCCACAGCAGCAGCCGAGGCACTGACACAGGGTGCCCAGGGCAGGGAGGGCAGAGACCCCCACCTCCACCTAGGCACACCTGGAAAGCACCCAGGCCACCACAGCCGACCACCGCCGCCGGGGCAGAGGGCTCCCACAGAGGAAGCACTGGAAAAAGGTTAAATTAAGGTTAAAATATAAAATCAAAATAGCTAAAATGAGAATTGTAATTTAAAAAGTTATATAGATATTAAAATAATGTTGATCATAAATCATGGTAAAAAAACTTTAAAAAGCACGTATAAAGAAAGAATACATTAAATAAAAAATAAATATACTTGGATAAATAAATAAATAACCTAAGTAATTAAATAATTTAAAAAGTGAGAGTATTCAGTTAAAAGCTAAGCTAAAAAGATGAGTCTTGAGCCTGTTTCTGAAAACATGAATGTTCTCAGCAGCCCTGAGATCCCCTGGCAGCTTGTTCCAGAGGCGAGGACCGTAGTACTGGAAAGACGCCTTGCCGTGAATATGAGTCCTGACTTTAGGGATGACAAGGAGACGGCTGCCAGAGGAGCGCAGAGACCGCGGGGGTTCATACGGTAAAAGCTGTTCTGAAAGAGAAGAAGGCCCAAGACCATTAAGCCACTTAAAAACCATTAAAAGTATTTTAAAATCGATCCTGAAACATACGGGGAGCCAATGCAGTGAATCTAATGGGCCATTCCCATCTGTACCGGGTCGGCCCGGGCCGGGTAGCCCCAGTCGGCCCCAGCCTGGCCCGGTTGATTCCACACATCCTTGCCTTAAGCCCATGTGGGCTGATTCTACCCACCAATAAGAGGCTTGCTCTAATGGAAGGTGTGAATTTGCTGTCAGCAGGGGGTGTGTTGGCCCTGGTCGGCCTGAAGCAGACCCCCTCGAGAAGAGGGCTGAGGATGAGCCTTGGTTGGCCCGGAAAAATACCAGGCCACCCAGATATGTAAACAACCTACGCTACCCGGCCCGGGCCGACCCAGTACAGATGGGAATGGCCCATAAAACTGGAGTGATGTGATCCCGCCTCCTGGTCTTCGTTAGGACACGTGCTGCTGAGTTTTGTAGAAGCTGTAGACCTGAAATCCTCTTTTTAGGAAGACCAGAAAGCAGGGCATTGCAGTAGTCTATTCTACTGGTGATAAAAGCATGCATCAGCGTCTCCGTATTGGCCCGAGAGAGAACGGGGCGGACTCTGGAGATGTTCTTTAGATGATAAGAACCTATTTTGGTGATTTTTTTAATATGATTGATTAAAGTCAGCTCAGAGTCAAAGATGACACCCAGGTTCTTCACTTGTGAAGATGGATTAAGAGACAGCGATTGTAATTTTGGTAAAAGCTTCTCTCTCTGGGCCTCAGGACCGATAACTAAAACTTCAGTTTTGTCCTGGTTGAGCTGGAGAAAGTTTCCTGCCATCCAGGATTTGATGTCTAAAATGCAATTAAAAAGCGTGTCCATTGGCCGTGCCATCTTTGATGAGATTGAAGCTGCAATCGTTAAGGTTTTTAGCAAGCCACTCCTAAAGGTGTCTGTTCTCATCGGTCCCTGTGCAGTCTCTGATGATCTGAGCTTCAGCTCCATCAGAGAGACGCTCATGGAGTGCTGCGGTGCTCCAGTTTGCTGTCTCACCTGATTTTGTTTAAAAAGCAAAACTTACTGCCTGCCTTTACTTTCATTTCAATATATTTACCGGCCGGAGCCCGGCATCGTCTCCCCAAGTGATCGTGACACCTCCCTGTGCCATGGCGCAATAGCAGTCTATAAGACAGACCATTACTGCAATATTACTACCAAGCAAGGCGGAATGAATGGCGCAAAATTTGCGCAACGCCATGCTGGCACGGCACGTTTAAGACACACACCGTTGCGGTAATATTACGCCGATTTGCCGGCAGGCTGTGTAAAAAAGGCTAAAGTGACGCTGCAGATATGTTTTTTCTGCACGTGCTGCAAACAGGACAGCCGTCTTTAATCGACTGTCCCTCGAAATTAAAAAATCCTTTACATGCCCATATTTCCAACTTTGTTTTCTTTGAGGGCTGATAGATGTCCTGAGCGCTGCCATCTCCTCCTTCGACTATAATTTCAACTTCAAGAAAGTTTTGGTTGTGAACTACGAAGTGCGCATGTGTGGCAACATTGGTTGGTAAGGGCCACTGTAATGAGCCTTGGATCATGTGTGTGAAGCGTCTTTACTCTCATGAAACATGCAGACTGTTGTTGCTGTGTCACTTTGTTACTCACTAGACAAGTGAAATCTTCATCAGAGGGTGAAATTTACTCCTCAGAATCGGACTCCGCCATTACCAGACAAAGAGCGTCGTCAATAATGAACAGACCTGTCTGTATTGTGAGTTTCTCCTCTAATATATGATGATATTCAACCTCTGTGCATTCCACTCTCCACCTCAGTAGGGAGCGGCCTGATGGGGGCAGTTTTCAAACTTCGGACTTCGTCTCCTGGGGTGTGTTGCAAAGAAACCCCCCTCCAGGACAACAAAGGGCTGTTCTGTGGTATCCTGTCATGTATCCGGTCCAGGTTAGTGCATTTACTATTGTGTTTTTAACACGGACACATTTGTCACTCATTCTCCTCCACCTCTTCAAGTGCTCACCACCCATGTTTCCCATCATTCCCGTCTACTAATAAAACACTTGTTGACTATCTTTATACATTTCCAGTCACGGGGGAATAAAACGTTCATATTTTTTTGAGTTTTTCCGCAATGTATTCTTCAAGCTGCTCTGTGTCTGCCGCTAGATATCATCGGCTCTCTATTGGGCCATTCCCATCTGTACCGGGTCGGCCCGGGCCGGGTAGCCCCAGTCGGCCCCAGCCTGGCCCGGTTGATTCCACACATCCTTGCCTTAAGCCCATGTGGGCTGATTCTACCCACCAATCAGAGGCTTGCTCTAATGGAAGGTGTGAATTTGCTGTCAGCAGTGGGTGTGTTGGCCCTGGTCGGCCTGAAGCAGACCCCCTCGAGAAGAGGGCTGAGGATGAGCCTTGGTTGGCCCGGAAAAATACCAGGCCACCCAGATATGTAAACAACCTACGCTACCCAGCCCAGGCCGACCCGGTACAGATGGGAATGGCCCATATGTTTTTGAGGATGCAATGGCGGCGATATAGACAACAGCGGCGTCCTGACCAATCACAAGCTTGAGTTCTCCGTCTGGATGGATGGATGTTTAGAAAAGAGAGTTTGACTCCGTCCGTCTTTGAGAGGGCTCTCCAGCATGCTCGCAAGGACGGAAAATGGCGTTGCATGTCTGTCCCGACGCACATGGAGAAGTAAGCTACGAAACGTGTGTGGTGACGTCATTTGCACTGACTGGAATTCATAAGGGGAATTGTTTGCAATGATTCCTTGGAATTGAAACAATGGGACCCAGGTTTCGATTCCCGGCCCTAATTATTATTGAAAGTACACGAGTGTGGTCAAGTGAAAATTTTATTTTGAGTTTTAATTCATATTGTGCTTTGTAGTTATGCCAGTGCTACATTCAATTCAATTCAAGTTTATTTATAAAGCGCCAAATCACGACAAGAGTCGTCTCAAGGCACTTCACATAATAAACATTTCAATACAGGCCAGGTAATTAAGCCAATCAGTAAAAAGTTTCCTATATAAGGAACCCAGCAGGTTGCATCGAGTCACGGACTAGTGTCAGTGTCTTTACAGCAATCCTCATACTAAGCAAACATTTAGCGACAGTGGAGAGGAAAACTCCCTTTTAACAGGAAATAAATATTTTCTGGTTTTATAATTGATTTATTGCAATCCTTGATTTTAGTGAGGTTAGTACACATCAAAGTCTTAAATGCTATGGTTCTAATTATTGACAATTATTTCTTTTGGTGTTTCGGTTTTCGGCCTTGGTTTCCTTATTTTCAGTTTCAGCCAAGAATTTTCATTTCGGTGCATTCCTAGTATTTAGTAGTCAGAAGTACTACAACTAGAAAAGATTATTTGAATAATTAAACATTAGTTACCTGCATGTTCTGACCCTGCAGATGGAGCCTCTCTTTGCAGACCCCCTCGTAGAAATCATAATACTCCAGGAAGGATTTCTCCATCACACTCCTGACAGAAATGAAGTCAATACTCCATTAAGATAACATGGAGAGAAACAGACTAAATGAACCATGCTAGTTTATCTCACCCAAGAGCATCAGGACACGGAACTTTACCCTCCAGCATGTCACACACGGCCACCCTCATGGTTTCATGTCGGATGCATTCGTTGTAGTTCTTACTGTCCCCTGGGTGACGCTCCTGAGCATCATACAGATCAGTTAGGAGCACAGAGTGTTTGGTGTATGTGTGTGTGTGTGTGGTCTAAGCTTTAAAGGTGCAGTGTGTAGTAGTAAGAATGACATCCGGTGGTTGCATTTGGGTACTCCAGGCCATTTGTACAGACAAAAGGTAACACTCTCACCTTGTTTCATATGGTGCCCATGTGGTGACATTAAGGAAAAAAATATGAACTCGTGGCCACGAGATACATAAAGTATGTCCTGGCCACACATTAATAACTCGTGGCAACGAGTTAACAACTCGTTACCACGCATTAAGTATCTCGTGGCCACGAGTAATTTTTTTCCCCTCAGAGTCACCAGACGGGCACCGTAGTTTCATGACTTTTGAGGCTGTTGCCAGTTACGGATCAGAACCAGAAGATTCTAGATTACAAAGACAAGCCATCCACAGTAGCCATAAGTGGATAGCAGTGCTGAAACTAATCATCAAATGATTTGAATACTTCCAATTCATTAAATTCCTTGATTAATTTTTTATTGATTCAAAACTTCATTAAATGTGCGCACCACAGTCTGAACACTTCTTACTACGTGGTAATCTAAGTGCAGTGGAAGAAAATGGAGAAACCAGTAAAAACAGAAGCCATTGTAAAAGGCAGAGATGGTCCCAAGTTTGGGATCAAGAGTTAAAACTACGGGAAAATAGGCTAATGCTAAGCTAGCTCATGATCAAGAGGGCTTCAGAAAAATGTGATGGTTGTGAATAACTGAACTCTACAAGCTAAAGAAAATCCCCACCATCCCGTTTATGTGTGGATGCTGCAGCAGTACGGATCAGAACCTCTGCAGCTGCTACCTGGAGTCAGGTTGTTGCTATTGAGAGTCAGCGACTTGAGTCTGCTCCACACACCACCACTATGGCAAGCCGTTCTGGCATTTAATTCATAAACACTTCTATATTTGAATACAATTTTAACTGGTTTATAATGCCAACCCGTACATGATAAAATATATTTGCAACAATTACTTTTTTACTAGTAGAAATTAAATGTTAGTAGCATTTCTAGTAGCTTATGGCGCTTACACATTAGCATCAGCACGGTCAAGACACGCGCGCGCACACACGCGCACACACACACACACGCGCACGCACACGCACACGCACACACACACACACGCACGCACGCACATACACACAGCGCTCTCCGAGTCAAGTTGCCTCAGAATTGCAAAGGCACATCTGACCCATATGTGAAACCAAATCCCGGTCCAGTATGGGACTGAGCCAACGCTAATGTGTAAGCACCATTACATGGTAATAAAATTATTCAATTCTACTGATCATGTGAATTTATGTAAATATGTTTATACAAGGATGAGTGATACTAAACCAATAATTTTAATTAAATATAAGTCAACTTTTGTTCCAAAAATTATTTATTACATTTAAATATCCGTTGGGAACAAGGGAACTAGACAACACCAATTTAATACATGTTGTTGATGCTTTTATAATTTTGTTAATTTTCAGATTTTTAGCAACAGACCACAGTCTCACTTCACTTGAAAACTCATCAAATACAAAATTTGATTAATCGATAGAGAATTCAACAGAACATTCGAATACTAAAATATTCAATAGCTGCAGTCCTAGTAGATATATACGTCGTCATATCTGGTGCTAGTAGGGCTGGACAATTTAGAGAAAAAGCATATTGATTAAAAAAAGAATCACAACGATCAATATAAAAAATGTCTAAAAACAATTTATGTAGAAAACATTTTAAATGCAGTCCTGGCAATTTAATGTAAGTCTTTAACTACTTTCAATAAAGAACAAAAACTGAATAAATTCAATATTAGAGGTGCTGAAAAAAAATCGATTCAAGTCTGATTCGGGATTCTTATTTAAAAAGATTCAGAATCTATTCACAAAGGTTCAGAATCGATTCGAAGAACTCAAATATTTGGCATGTTACAGGTTTGAGATGCACTTTCTTGATCTTTGTTAGGAGAGTCAGTACTCCGTTTACTTTAGTGGTCCCATAAATTGAGATGATTTATGTTTGAATCTGCTGATAAGAGGGCACTTGAATGTAATTTTTTCCATACTCAAAAATTTGAGATATTCTCATATTTATTTTCTAAGTTGATAAATGAGTACTCAGGATTACTCATGTAACTATTACTTTCAAAGCTAGGTTAGGTAACTACAGATTTGTTATATTTTACAAGGTAAGCAAAAATAAATGTAGCCTTTTGGTCAAAAGATTGCTTCTGTTTACAGTTTTAGAATCACTAGTTTACATTGTAAATTTGCATTTTTGGAGCATGACCCGTTTAAAGTCAAATAAAAATGTCCCATAGCTTTAACTAACTTGTACAACAAAGTAGTTAATCCTGGAGCTGACACTCTTTGTTAATACTGATTGTGAATCGATTTAAATTGAGAATCAAGAATCGATTCTGAATCGAATCGGCACCCTGAGAATCGGAATTGAATCAAATCGTGAGTGGCTCTAAGATTCACATCCCTATTCAATATAATTAAACATTTTCATGTTATTAATACTGAACAATTTCAGGAAAAGACTGAATTACGTTCCCTTTTCTAGCATAAATTGAGATTTCAGTACAAATCATGATTTTTCTTCTAATCAAGGTTCAGCTGCGTCACATCGTTCACAATATATTACAAACATGAATAGAAATTATTTCATCACATCCTGTTTTTATCGTTTCCTCACTTTTTTGTAGTGCTGTTTATTTTTTTCCTCCTCTTTTACAGATGTGTCCCCATCAATAATTACGGCTCTCTTAGTGTTAAAGTAATAACTGCTTGTGGCATTCCGCACACGCGCCACATCCACTCCCATCAAAAGGCAATCAGAGGAACTCGGTCTCTCTCTCTCTATAGGTAGTTTTCAAAGAGCACTGCTCAGAGTAACTTGGACCGATGCAGCTCAGCCTGACCACAGTTTCCAAGGACACAGTTCAGTACTTTCCCTGTACTTTTCCCCCATTTTTAGTCCCTGGCAAGGCTGAGTGGAGCCAGCATCACGACTGGGGCACTGATTGGCTAGGCGGCAGAGTCACTGGTTGCTCCAGAGTTTTCTGCCTTCTGTTAAACTGGCTGCAGCAATTTCCTAGATCAGAGTCTGACAAAAAGAAATAAAACTGTGCAGAATGTCCAGCAACACCACCATTTTTCTGCACACACACTTTAAATACTGAAGAACAGAACTAGCATTGCTTTACAAAAAAAAAACTCATCTGTTCGGACTGGGTTCGGTTTATCCTCTTCTTCCTCACCACCTTCACTTCATGCTTCTGTTTTTACCAGTTCCGTCTTTCCTGGGATCCTGCAATTCCTTTTTTAATTCATTTTCTTTTCTTCCTTCTTTTTTATTTTATTTAAAATTTTCCATTTTCCACATATTTTATAATGAATTTTTTTTTTAGATATATTATTTCGTTTTAGTTTTTTGTACTTATGTTGAAGTGCCGTTAGTTAAAAAACACTTAAAGCTGCACTCCTGTACCTGCTCCAACATGTCCAGCCAATGTGTCTTACCTGTTCGAAGCCTGGCTCGTTGTGGTAGGGGTTCTCGGTCATCAGAGACTGAATGGATATGAGGACAGAGGAGATACTCTGGGCTGGACTCCATGCAGGGCCTGTCCACGTTCTACAAACATACAAACCAGTACTCAGGAACAGACTGCACAGCAGGAATGAGAGCAAGAATACAAAAACACTAAAGACTCACCCCAGGATGCTGAGGCAGACCTTCCCATTGCGGTAGAAATTGGGGTTGAAGCGGACAGTGTTGTGTCCGGTGGTGATAAGCTTCACCCTGGGTGGGTGGATGGGGTAGTCAGGGGGACAGCGGAAAAGGAAGAGAAAGAAGCCACCCTCATATGGTGTGTCAAATGGTCCAGTGATCAGGGCATGGATCTGAAGGGGGAGACGTGTAAAAAGGTCAAGACTTTGACCTCAAGCTAATAAAGACTCCTAAATCGGACATGTCCACACAACACAAAACTTAGCACAGAATACATTTTAACCAGATACTTTTAATCAGAAGTCACAGATACACTGGTTCTTAACACAAACCCCTTGGTGCTACAGATGTGGAAAAAACGGGTGAGTTTGTGCGCAGCTGAGATTAGATCTGAGCCATTCAAGAAAATGACAAACCGGTTCCATAAAACCCAAGAACTGAGAGGTTGGACATCAGATACAGCCATTGGCCTGAAACATTATGCCCAATGATCGGCCATCTTTTATATGATGGGAAAGAAAAACAAGAAGAAACAGAGCAAGAAGTCTAAAACGTTTGGGACCATTGTCACGTCCAGAAAAGGTCATTTTTCACCTACATATTGACCTACATGCCACCGGTCATCTACAGACATAGTTCCATCCTCTAAAGTGGATTTTACATTCTATCTTCCAACAAGCCAGAAGATTCGGCAGTACGTGTTGACATTTCAGAGGCATCAGCCTATGTTCCCAAACAAAGCCTTCTTTTGATTCGACTGCAGGATTGCACACTCTCATGAGAGATGATGAAGTTAAATAATCATTAAATAATGATATGGTTGAATGAACAAATGTTATATGAATGATAATATTAATGTTTGAATAATCGGTGTCTAATTCAATGAAGTTGAAATGAATTTTAATATTACAATGAAACATTTTGATGTTATGATCAGTAATGTTTGGTTTAACAAATGAATCATTATCTCCCCTCAGACACAATGTTCATAAGATATAAGTTAAAGTTAACGTCACTGCACATAAAGATACTTTATCCACAGAACTAGAACATTCTTGTATCTGGAAACGGTGTGTGTTCTGAGGTTTGTTTGTTAACACCTCTTAACCTCTTTTGTCCTGATTGGCCATGTAATCATAATATGGGAATATTAAAACAGAATCACTTGCGGAGTGATCCAGTTGGTTTTTGAGCAGAACTCCGGGCTGGCCACCGGAGGAAACTCTCTAACCACCCTATCTCTCGACAAGCTGTCAAAACCTGCTACACCTGGCACAGAAACTTGCTCCTTCAGAACAAAGTTGACAAAGCCAAGACTCCTTCAGAGTCCATCCGTCTTAGATGCAACCAACCTGTTTGTTGTGACCTAGGAACAACTCGAGACCGGTCTAGTGGTATTGCGGTTAATCTTGCGGACTTCGGTACCTGGGGGTCCATACTGATTCCCAACATTCCAGATCTACCACGGGGGTTCCTATCTGGGTACGTAGGCACGACAAGATTGTGTCTAATGCCGTTTTGGTAAGAACCAACTTTGTTAGTTTAATGCAAACCAAATTCTTTTCACACCCAGAACTCAGTTTCTTCTAGATACAAGGTTCTGATAAACACACCATTCAATCATCATACATCACATGCCATCCACTTAGATTCATCCATCAAATTAGTCTTGTTTATAGTTGTCACATTTTAATTTATTTAGAAAATAAATTTCTTACTTTTTATAAACCTGACTTTGTCTGAATTAATACGAAGTGTGTTTGGGTTAGGGTTATAGGCCATTCCCATCTGTACCGGGTCGGCCCGGGCTGGGTAGCGTAGGTTGTTTACATATCTGGGTGGCCTGGTATTTTTCCGGGCCAACCAAGGCTCATTCTCAGCCCTCTTCTCGAGGGGGTCTGCTTCAGGCCGACCAGGGCCAACACACCCACTGCTGACAGCAAATTCACACCTTCCATTAGAGCAAGCCTCTGATTGGTGGGTAGAATCAGCCCACATGGGCTTAAGGCAAGGATGTGTGGAATCAACCGGGCCAGGCTGGGGCCGACTGGGGCAACCGGCCCGGGCCGACCCGGTACAGATGGGAATGGCCCATTAGTGTTAGTGATTGTGGTCCCTGATCCGCCAGCACCCACCCTCTGATCTAAGGCTCATAAACCCTTTGCAGGTATGCTGGATTCATTAGCTGATTAAAGTGAGTCAAGAATATTGAACCTTTTCAAAATATTCTCATTGTCCGAGATGTTGAATGTGGGGTTTTCATAAGCTGTAAGCTATAATCATCACAATTATAACAAATAAAGGCTGAAAATCTGGATTTGCATGGAATGAGTCTGTCTCGTAGATTCGTTTTACCTTTTAGGTTGGATTACTGACATTAATTAATTTTTGCACCAGATTTTCGTTTTCAAAGTTTCACCTGTTCACTAGTTTGTTACAGTTTTTCTCAATTGTTTACACACATTTTCTGGTACTTGAGACACAATTACCACAACATGTAACCAATTCACCAACCCCCTTAACCAATTCTGCTAAACTACAAGCACAATTCCACTACATCCCTCACCCATGGTTAGGGTTGGGCATCGAGAATCCAGTGGAACCGGGACCAGCCTTCAGTTTTTCCTGGAATTGTTTAAAGTTTTTTTATTTCGATTCCTAGTTTTGATTCCTAGTATGCTGACCAGAAGAGAATCCGCGGCCGATCTCAGTGAAAAATAAATGTGATCTGCAAATTCTGATAAACGCTTTTCAGAGCTGATCACACCAACTGTCTGTCGCCCCTGCTCTGCTCCCCGCAGAGAGCCATGTACGGTACCAAGTTTTAACATTTTAAATCTGATAGGTTGTTACTGACAGCAGCTACATTTAAGTTTGTTTCTTTTATGACTGAATTGCTGCTGCAGCATGTAGGTGTAGGTTCTCAGTCATCCTGGACAGAATCATCCTGATGGTTGTAATTAAAAACAGCTGGACTTTTTCTGATTATGTTGGAGACATTTAAACTCTCATCCCAGAGGCTTCTTACATACTTTGGTTGTGGTCAGGATGAAAGAGAAGAAGAAGAAAATATAATTTTTATGGCGCCTCTCAAGATAAAAATCACAAGGCGCTTCACAAAAACAAAAAATGTAAAAATATAAAAAAGAATTTTGAAAATAATAGACAATTGTGATTAAAAAATGTTAAGAAAGAGAGAGAGTGAATAGGAAAGAGGGAAATCAGTGGATCCTGAGGAAGGTGGAATAGGTGGGGAGAGCAGAACAAAGAGAGTGGTGAAGAAGGTCATACAAAAGCCAGCCTGAACAAGTGAATCTTCAGCTGCTTTTTAAAGGAGACCACTGAGTCCACTGATCTCAGGCTCAGGGGGAGAGAGTTCCAGAGTCTGGGGGCCACAGCAGCAAATGATCTGTCACCTTTGACCTTTAACCTGGTGCTGCACAACCAGTAGGCTTTAATCACTGGACCTCAGGGACCTGCTGGGGGTGTAGGAACTAAGAAGATCACCAATGTATGATGGTGCTTGTCCATGTAAGGCCCTATAGACCAGAACCAGGATCTTGAAATGAACCCTGATGTTGACTGGCAGCCAGTGAAGCTGGAGGAGAAGCGGGGTGATGTGGGTGTGTTTGGAGGACTTGGTCAGAAGCCGAGCACAGGCATTCTGAACCACCTGTAGACGGTTCAGGGAGGTTCTGCTCAGACACGTGAAAAGAGAGTTACAGTAGTCTAAGCGTGAGGAGATGAAGGTGTGGAGAACTGTCTCAACTTCAGAGCAAGACAGAATGGGACTCAGCTTAGCAATGTTCCTGAGATGGAAGAAGGAAGAGCGAACAAGAGAACTGACATGAGAATCCAGGGTGAGAGCTGGGTCAAAGGTCACGCCAAGATTCCTGACAGAAGGTTTGGTGTGGGAAGCAAGCTGACCAAGAGAGTCTCTGACTTTGGGAACCAGCTTGTCTGGGGCACAGATGAGGATCTCAGTCTTATCTTCATTCAGCTGAAGAAAGCTCCCACCATCCAGGTTTTGATAGAGTCTAAGCAGGTGTGTAACAGCTGCAGCTTTGACATCTCATGGGGCTTAAAGGAGATGTACAGTTGGATGTCATCTGCATAAAGATGGTAGGATATTCCTTTGAAGGAGCTCAGGATGTGCTGAAGAGGAAGCAGATAGAGAAGGAAGAGCAGAGGCCCCAGCACAGAACCTTGTGGGACACCATGGGTAAGGGAGGTGGTGGAGGACCTAAATTTGGAGACGGCCACAGAAAAGGAGCGCTCAGAAAGATGAGAGGAGAACCACTCCAGAGCAGTTCCTAATAGGCCTAGCAAGTCTCTTAGCCTCTCCAGTAGCAGGTGATGGTCAACAGTGTCAAAGACTGCAGTCAGGTCCAGCAGGACCAGAACGGAACAGTCCCCTGCATCACTTTAAGTCAGAAGATCATTAGAGCCCCTAAGAAGAGCTGTCTGACTGGAAGCTATCATAGATGTTATATTCATCAAGAGCAGCTGTGAGTTGTTTAGCCACAACCTTTTCCAAGATCTTGGAGATGAACGGAAGTTTAGAGATGAGTCTGAAGCTGCTATGAAGAGAGGGGACAAGACTTGGTTTTCTAAGAAGCGGGTGGATTACAGCATTCTTAAAGTAAGCAGGGACCTGACCAGAAACCAGAGAAGCATTAATTATAGAGAGCATGCTGGGACCGATGGACTGAAAAGCACTTTTAAACAAAGATGAGGGTAAGATGTCGAGGGGGCATGCAGATGTCTTCATAGAGTTAACTATGAAACCGGAGCAAAGCTATCTAGGATGATGGGCCTGGTTGGAGTCGGGAGAGGCAGCGATAAGGCTGAAGGAGAGATGCTAGATCTAACCTTATTGACTTTGTCCACAAAGAAAGACAGAAAGTTCTCTAAGTCTGTAACAGAGTGGATGGAGGCTGTAGGAGAGGCAGGAGAGACGATGCTGCTGATGGTGTTAAACAGCACCTTGGGGTTCCCTTTGCTCTGGGACACCAGGTTGGAGAAATAGGAAACCCTCACGTCTCTGACTGCAGAGTTAAAGGATGTCAGAAGATCCTTTAGGTGCAGCAGATGGACGTGGAGATGGGTTTTCTTCCACAAATGCTCAATTTTTCTGCATTGGCGCTTCAGGCTGCGAAGGCTGTCATTAAACCAGGGAGTAGGGTTCACTGCAGGAACTGATCTGGTTCTGACAGGACAGATGATGTCCAGAATGGAGAGGCAGTGCTCGTTAAAATGAGAAGTTAAGGAATCTGGGTCGTTATCAGAAGAACAGGGTGGATAAAAAGCAGCAGAAAAATTGCTAGCTGTGCTCTCATTAAGAAAACAAGAACTAACCATACGGCGAGCAGGAGGTGGGGACGCAGAAACTGACAAGTTAAAGAAAATGCAATGGTGATCTGAAATATAACCGTCCTCAGGACAAACACTGTCAGCATTTAGACTCAGGGTAAAAACAAGGTCCAGAGTGTGCCCCCTGGTGTGTGTGGGGCCAGAAACATGCTGGGTAAAGCCAAAGGTGTCCATAAGGCTGGAGAAATTCATGGCAAAGTGATTGGAGGGATCATCAACGTGGATGTTAAAGTAGGGCTGCTCGATTATGGCAAAAATAATAATCACGATTATGGTGACTGAAATTGAGATCTCGATTATTTAAGACGATTTTTCAATTTATGTAGATTTTATTTGTTTTTATTCAGTCATAAAACTGCTCAGGGCACAATCAGGACAAAAATAAGAAACAAGATGATCACTAAAATAACTCCTGATTCCCAGTATAAAAAGACCAATATACTTATAGCTCATAGTCTATGACCCAAGGGCTATAGACCTTGGTTTAACTCATTTAATTCTAACCAGTACAGACCCAAATACCAATATCTTGCAAATACTGACAGCAAGAATTATACAGTGGCATTTATAACAAATAAATGCAAATAAATTGATGTTTACAAAATGTTGCATAACATTTATTGAGTCGTGTCAAGGTGCTGTAGGAGCGTGCACTAGCACCGTGTCCTCAGAGAGATTAGTTATTATTTATCAGCGTGAGGAACTTATTTCTACCTTATTTATAAACTATTTATTTACAAGTCCATCAGTTAATGTAGTAATTGTCCCAACCACAGCTGCACCCCCCACCCACCAACCCGGTCTCACAGCAATCGGGGCAAGCTGCACGTGTGTTTAGCACGCGGCACGCGCACATTTAGCCGTTTTTAGCTGCTCAGGAATCCGCAGGTGCGGTGTGTGTCACTCACTCTGGTTAATCCAACAGGGAGCCGGCTCTGAGAGCTGTTTCTTTAGCGACTGACACATCACTACATCATTCCCTTTCCTAATGTTGTGAAGAACGGTCCAGAGCGCAGGCGGAGTGTTTAGCTAACCTGCAGGAAATGTCGACGACAGTTATCCAGAAAGTAGCTAAGGGTTACCAGAGATGTTTCTCAGGTGTTCGCTAGGTACTTTTAGGATTAAAAAGTCAAGAAGCGGGTCTGAAAAGCTGCTAGAAATAGCGTCAAAGTCGCTAAGTTGGCAACACTGTGGAGGTGCGCTTCATTTGCAACTCAGGGCAGCGCAAGCGGGAGGAGCAAATAATCGGCTTGTTTTGTTTTTTATAATTGTTCAAAACTCAGATCGTAATCGTGATTAAAATTCGATTAATTGAGCAGCCCTATGTTAAAGTCACCAACAATCACCAGTCTGGACAGCTTCACAGTGGAGGATAGAAAGTCACTAAACTCCTGAAGGAAGAACCATATGGACCAGGTGGACGATAGACCACAGCACAGTAGAACGGGTCCTTACGCCCGACTTTAATCAGCTGCAGTTCAAAGGAAGCAAAGTCACCAAAGGTTGTAGAGCTACATGGAAGATGGTCTCTGAAAACAACAGCTAGGCCTCCACCACGACCAGAACGCCGAGGCTGGCTAAGAAAAGAATAACCACTCGGGCAGAGTTCAGTCAGACCAGAATAATCAGATGTTTGCTGCCAAACTTCAGTCAGAAACAGAAAATCCAGGTTTTTAGAGAGAATTAAATCATTGAGCAGGAAAGACTTCTTGTTAACAGAGCGGGTATTTAATAGAGCCATGCTGAGTGAGGTGGAGGAATCAGAAACTACAGAAACATCTGGAGTTAGTGGATGTAAATTAGCAGGGTTAGATCCACGGTGTTTATCAAAACCACTTATGGAGGGAACAGGAGGAGAAACCACTGAGGAATGAGGTTAAACAGACCTTAAAAAACTTGGACGGAGAAATCACGCCACAACACGGCCTGGCAGGAATGAGGAAGTGGCGCTCAGGTCGCCAAACAACGGACAAGAAGCTAGAAGATCACGCCGATGTTTACTAGATAAACCACGCTTTAAGAGAATTCTTATTGTCACCTGAATTCCTGCTCGTTTACCTCTTTTCCTCCGTTTTCCTGGGACCGGATAAACATTGCTGGAGGTGCCCTGGTTGGAATTGTCATTTGGCTCCCGGCCAGTGCGCCACTCAGATAAACAAACTGGGAGGTACGTCCTCGGTGCATCTTGGGTGATCGTGAACGAACGGAAGGACAAAAGAGTCTGGCGATCATAGGAGATGGTAGCAGGGACACTACTGAAGAGGATCGCAGACAGGAGCAAGGTGGAAAAGAGGAGGTTAGTGCAGAAAAGTTAGAAAAAGTGGCCGGTGACCGCGGCTAAGCCAAGCACAGGCGCCATCTTGTTACCGACAGCTACTGACCGACAAACACTGATTGTGCTGCAAGTCTTTTTCTTTCTTTCTCAAAAACATGTTCTTGTCTAAATAAAAGGAGATGTTATTGTTCATAGAAATAAAACTCATGTTGAAGTTAAGGTTATTTCATCAAGGAGGACCTGTTGTTAGCTGGCTCATTTAAAACATGTAATGTATTTAAAGAACTGGAACCAGGAATAGATAGTAGGGTTTCCCCCAGCGCTTTATAAGCCTGGCGGCCCGCCAGGCTAAGCATTAGGGTTGTCACGGTATGAAAATTTAACCTCACGGTTATTGTGACCAAAATTATCACGGTTTTCGGTATTATCGCGGTATTTTTTAAACGGTGTTGCATATGTTCAGAAAGCATTGATAGTCCTGTTCTACACAAACTGAAATAGTTCTGAAAAGGTTTAACAGTGTTTATTAAACCTAAAATAACACAAAGCCTTAGCAAAAGTGCAACTTTTCACAAGTAAAGGAACAAATAGCTTCTTTTTCTGGAACTTGTTACAGTAGTCAGTGCAGGTTTAAATTATACAAATTCAAACATTCAAAACATAAACAATATGTAAACAAATCAAAGAAACACCACTTGTTTTCTCATATACTTGTTTTCTTCATTATCAAAATGAAAATCTAAAACTCCAGTCCACACTTGACTTGAGCACTGTACAAGTCAACCTTAAAAAATATGTATTTAAAATAAATAGCCACTTTAAACAAATTACTAAAATAACTACTACACTATGTAATCAAATCCAAATGTTCAAGTATAAATGGCATTGAATAAGTAAACAAATCAATGACAAGGAACTAATCGTATATTTCTCTTCATCATCAACAAATAAGATGCTTCATCCAGCAACAGGGTGTCCGTGACACGGTTTAAATGCTGGCAGAGGACGCTGCGGCTGCAGCATATAGTGACTCGTTGCATTCTCCGTCAACCAAAAGTCCTCGCGTCATGCATTTCAGCTAAAATGCTAATGTTATCTTACCTTGCACTGGCTGTGGAGACGTGGGTGATCGTCACGCAGATGTGCCATGAGATTTGAAGTGTTGCTGCCTTCTGCAGACACTTGTTTCCTGCACGTTCTGCAAACGGGATAGCCGTCTTCTATTAACTGTCCCTCAGCATTTTTCAGAAATCCAAAATATGCCCATACTTCCAATTTAGTCTTCTTTGAGGGCTGATGGATGTCCTGGGCGCTGCCGTCTCCTCCTTCGGCCATTATTTCAGCTTCAAAGTTTTGGTGCCGTTGCAAATTAAAAAGTGCGTGTGCGCGCAGCGGGAACTTCAGCTGAAGCGACGGTGGCTGGTAAGGGTCATCGCGCCGAAACCGCGGCCACGGTAAACCCACCGAGATAATATAGTTTTTTAAAAACTGGACGGTTATTTTTATTGTCAACTTTTTTACCGGGGTTTACCGCTATACCGGTTACCGTGACAACCCTACTAAGCATCATGCCCCAACCCCCTCCCCGACCCTAACGTGTCCGCTGACACGAACGGCATAACAAAACTAGAGCCCTCCATCAGCTGATACTGGTGAGAAACAGCAGTGGAATGTGTGCAACCCCCGCTTTCACGGAGGAGCGCTGCGGGTCAGCCTGCTTCTTACACCAAACCCTCTGTCAGGAAGCTCGGCGTGACCTTTGACCCAGCTCTCGCCCTGGATTCTCATGTCAGTTCTCTTGTTCGCTCTTCCTTCTTCCATCTCAGGAACATTTCTAAGCTGAGTCGCATTCTGTCCCGCTTTGAACTTGAGACAGTTATCCACACCTTCATCTCCTCACGCTTAGATCTTCTCAGTCCCTGCACTCCCCAGCAGGTCCCTGAGGTCCAGTGACCAAAGTAGCGCACCAGGCTAAAGACCAAAGGTGACAGATCATCTGCTGCTGTGGCCCCCAGACTCTGGGATTCTCTCCCCCTGAGCCTGAGATCAGTGGACCACTTGTGCACTGGAGTGCAGCAATTGATATAAGTAAACCTCTCTGCTGCTGTTCTGCGCCGCTTACGCTTCCAGTGTGCAGTAAGTGTAAGATTCACTGGTTGATGTGAAATACTTTACTTGAAATATTAATAAATAACAAACAACTACCAGACAATGTTACAATGTGGTCTCACAATGCAGACACTACAATTTACATAGAAGAAATCTTATTGGATTTAGTCAACAGAAAACATGACTAGTTGGGTCTCAACGTTTTATTGCCTTACCTTGGTCATGTCTTGAGGATCAGGAACAACAAACATCCCAGGTGGAGGTTCCTTGTAGATTGACATTATGTCCCTATGCAGAAAGCAGAAAAATAAGGTGAGTTACTTGGAAAAACATTTAAATAAATGTTATATGTAGGGCTGTCACGATTAGTCGACTCAACGGCGTAACAGCACCGACAAACAAAATAGATTGTAGATGCATCATTTTTTATAAGCATTTTTTTTATCTCGCCTTCTGAAGCGCTAACTTCCTGCCTCTCTGCTGCTGAGCCACCACTTTGCACCGCGACACATGCGCAGTAGTAGCCATCCAGATCAGCCTTCATTACCGGAGAAATAAAACATGGCAAGTCTGCAACTTAGCTTAAAAGTTTGGGAGCATTATTTAAAGACAAAAGAAAGGCCTGTAGAGTGTAGGGTTGTCACGGTAACCGGTGTAGCGATAAACCCCGGTAAAAAAGTTGACAATAATAATAATAATAACAACTGTCTTGTTTTTCAAAAAATATATTATCTCTGTGGATTACCATGGCTGCGGTGTAGGCGCGGTGACCCTTACCAGCCACCGTATCATCTGCTGAAGTTGCCGGCGGCACATGCGCACTTTGTTGTTTACAATAGGGTTGTCACAATACTAAAATTTCAAACTCGATTCGATACTTGAAAAAAATACTCGATACTCGATTCCGATACTATTTACAAAAACACCCATTTATCGAACAAGTTTATTCAAAAAATAACATTCCTCAATTTATATTACAAAAATTAAATGTTAAGAATTAAGTGTATTAAGTGCTTAAACCTTTCAAGTATCAGCATTTTTTAAAACGTGCATACAAAAACTGGTGAAAGTTAACACTTTAAATCATGAATTGTCTCACTATATACAGGTGCTGGCCAGTAAATTAGAATATCATCAAAAGGTTGAAAATATTTCAGTAATTCCATTCAAAACGTGAAACTTGTACATTATATTCATGCAATGCACACAGACCAATGTATTTCCAATGTTCATTACATTTAAATTTGATATTCATAAGTGACAACTAATGAAAACTCCAAATTTGGTATCTCAAAAAATTAGAATATTCTGAAAAGGCTGAATATAGAAGACACCTGCTGCCACTCTAATCAGCTGATTTACTCAAAACACCTGCAAAGGCCTTTAAAAGGTCCCTCAGTCTTGTTTTGAAGGCACCACAATCATGGGGAAGACTTCTGACTTAACAGCTGTCCAAAAGACAATCATTGACACCTTGCACAAGGAGGGCAAGACACAAAAGGTGATTGCTAAAGAAGCTGGCTGTTCGCAGAGCTCTGTGTCCAAGCACATTAACAGACAGGCGAAGGGACGGAAAAAATGTGGTAGAAAAAAGTGTACAAGCTCTAGGGATAACCGCACCCTGCAGAGAATTGTGACGACAAACCCATTCAAAAATGTGGGGGAGATCCACAAAGAGTGGACTGCAGCTGGAGTCAGCGCTTCAAGAACCACCACGAGGAGACTCATGAAAGACATGGGATTCAGGTGTCGCATTCCGTGTGTCAAGCCACTCTTGAACAAGAAACAGCGCAAGAAGCGTCTCGCCTGGGCCAAGGACAAAAAGGACTGGACTGATGCTGAGTGGTCCAAAGTTATGTTTTCTGATGAAAGCAAGTTCTGCATTTCCTTTGGAAATCAAGGACCCAGAGTCTGGAGGAAGAGCGGAGAAGCACAGAATCCACGTTGCATGAGGTCCAGTGTAAAGTTTCCACCGTCAGTGATGGTGTGGGGTGCCATGTCATCTGCCGGTGTTGGCCCACTCTGTTTCCTGAGGTCCAGGGTCAATGCAGCCGTCTACCAGGAAGTTTTAGAGCACTTCATGCTTCCTGCTGCTGACCAACTTTATGGGGATGCAGACTTCACCTTTCAACAGGACTTGGCACCTGCACACAGTGCCAAAACCACCAGCACCTGGTTCAAGGACCATGGTATCCCTGTCCTTGATTGGCCAGCAAACTCGCCTGACCTTAACCCCATAGAAAATCTATGGGGTATTGTGAAGCGGAGGATGCAATACGCTAGACCCAACAATGCAGAGGAGCTGAAGACGACTATCAGAGCAACCTGGGCTCTCATAACACCTGAGCAGTGCCACAGACTGATCGAGTCCATGCCACGCCGCATTACTGCAGTTATTGAGGCAAAAGGAGCCCCGACTAAGTATTGAGTGCTATACATGCACATTCTTTTCATGTTCATTCTTTTCAGTTGGCCAACATTAGAGAAACAAACATTTTTTCATTGGCCTTTAGAATATTCTAATTTTCTGAGATACCAGATTTGATGTTTTCATTGGTTGTCACCTATAAATATCAAATTTAAATGTAATGAACATTGGAAATACATTGGTCTGTGTGCATTGCATGAATATAATGTACAAGTTTCACGTTTTGAATGGAATTACTGAAATATTTTCAACCTTTTGATGATATTCTAATTTACTGGCCAGCACCTGTATACACTATTTGCAGAGTGATGTTTTGCTGCTTAAACTCTGTTTAAGGTGCATTTTTGTCATAAGCTGTAATACCATATGTTTTGTTCTGTACTTTTGAACAACTCTGTTGGTCAATAAAGGGAGAAAACGAATTTCTCCACAGTAGGACAAAGGTACATCTACCGGTAATCTTAATAAAAACAGACTGGCGCACGGCAGTGACGTCATTAAAAGCGCCGGTTAGATTAGCCGCAGCTAGTCTGTTTACGCCTAGAAATCCCAGACCAGACCCGCTCCAAACGAACAGGGAATCACGTTAATGATTCCTAACAAAACCTTTCGACATGAAGATGTTTTGGTGCAGATAATGTCTTATTTCGAGGCTGCACCATGGGTGCCCATCCGCACCCGTTATATGGATATATACGAAGACGGTGATTCGCCGATGGATCTAAATACCCCGGGGAATCCAAGTAGCACCAAAGTTGTCAGCGTGAGTAAACAAACGTACTGCATGCTAGAAATTAAGTCCGGGTTGCAATAAACGGGAGTTTCCTTTAAGCACATAAGCATGAATATACAACTACGTGTCGGACTTGGTATGCTAATTAAGTTGGGCTGTGAAGCGCCTCCCAAATTCGCTGTTTATGTTTTTGTTTATTTATTTGGCAGACAAAACTTGGATTGGAGACAACTCGCGTGGGAAATTGCGATGTAGCCATTCAGCGTCTTCTTCTTCTGTTTGTCTGGGAGGCGGAGGCTGCTTTACGGCATCTGGCTGTCGTGCGTGTCGTGTACTCGAAGAAGGCTGTGTATAATAGTCCATAATATCGATACCACAGGGATGGAATATCTCATTTAGATACCACTTTTAGTATCGATTTATATCTGGGTATCGATTTTTTTGACAACACTAGTTTACAACCAAAACTTTCTTGAACTTAAAGCTGAAATAACGGCCAAAGGAGGAGACGGCAGCGCTCAGGACATTTATTATCCCTCAAAAAAGACAAAGTGGGAAGTATGGGCATTTTTTGGATATTTGAAGAATGCCGAGGGACAGTTGACAGAAGACGGCTATCCTGTTTGCAGCACGTGCAGAAAAAGTGTCTGTGAAAGGCAGCAACGCTTCAAATCTCATGACACATCTGCGTGACCATCACCCACAACTCTACAGTCAACGCACGACAAGTTAACGTTAGCGTTTTAGCTAAAATGTGTGATCTGAGGATTTGGGTTGAGGGAGAATGCAACGAGTCGCTATATAAAGCAGCCGCAGCGCCGCTACCTGCATATAAACCGTGTCGCGGACACCCCCATGTTGAAATGACGCTATGCATTACGGGACTCCCAGGGGCAGATAAGAGTTGGTCTCTCTCCGAGAATAATTATGAATTTAACAACGATTACTGCCTGATGACATTTTCCCACATCTGCAAAGCTCACTGGAAGGACACAAACCGAGGACAATATTTTCCTGATATAGGGTTTATTACTCAAGTAAGGGTAAAAAAGTATCGGATTAGAAGGCTACTTGAGTACTGAGTATCATCTGATCTAATATTTTTAAAATGATGACATCAAACAGACAAAAAAGAAGAAGTTATGGGCAAATATTGGTATTTTAAAGACTAAAGGGGAAATATGTAAACAAATAAACAACATAATTACAAAAGAACACATTTTAGGCAAAGTTTTGACACAAACTGAGGACAATATTTCCTGATATACAGGGTTTATTTAGTCGTCTGAAAATGTAACACTTTTTAAAAAATAACGCGATAATACCGAAAACCGGGATAATTTTGGTCACAATAACCGTGAGGTTAAATTTTCACACCGTGACAACCCTAGTAGAGTGCTAACTCAGCAAAGGGAAACTCCTTTCACAGAAGCACATCGGCGATGGACGAGCACCTTAAGAGAAAGCACGTCATGGTGGAGAACAAAGAGTCGCCTCGGCAAGTTTACTTCTTGTTAGCTGCTAACATCAACAGAGAGCTACTTGTATTCATAGGTGTAGCAACATCAGTAGTGGTGGTGATTTAATTACCTTCAGAACAAGTTTTTATGTCATGTATGTTTGATCTAATTACAAACACTAATAATTTATTTCATCCCACTACGTTACAGTGTTAATAAAAGTGCTCCTCTTCAGTGGACGAGTTTATTGCGTGCACATCTCAGCAAGCTAACGTCCTGACCAAGGCCATTGTGGGCATGGTGGTCACAAGACTCCTGTTCATGGTTGGTGATCCAGGTTTCACAAAGATGATCGAGCAGTTCAACCGACCACTACCTACCGGGCCGATACCATTTCACCACCATGATATGAAACAACCTTTAAAGAATGTGTGCATGCGTGTGTGTGTGTGTGTGTGTGTGTGTGTGTGTGTGTGTGTGTGTGTGTGTGTGTGTTTGTGTTTGTGTGCACGGGCATGCTTGCATCTTTGACTCAGTTTTGCTGTGGAAACATGAAATAAACATAATATAATGTGTTTTATGATCAAATAAAAAGGTTACTGACTGAGCAATTAAAAACAAATATATTTTAAAGCATAAAACATTTTCTTTGTCTTAAATCTTAACCAACTTGATATGATTGAACAGAATTATTAATCTGGTAAATAAACTAACTAATATCTTATCTTCATGCTAAAGCAGACCCTCAGAGCTGTCGATGGTCCCTGACTGCTGACGTGTGGACCAGCCGTGCTACAGAGGCATACCTTGGTGTGTCCTGCCTTTTCCTGAATTAAGATTGGAAGATGAAGCACTTCAACCTGGCCACCATGCCTCTTGTGAACACAAGTCATGTTTGGTTTTAGGTGCCTACCACCATGTGACTGCAGCATTTGCATTAACAGGTTACAAAGTTAATTAAAGTTGCTTGATAAGCTATCATCTTGTCTTTATTATTAGATGGCACATAGCTGATCACACTTCAGACTAGAAGCCAGACGTGTAGACTCGAGTCCTATGACTTGGACTCAAGTCAGACTTGAGTCATTATTTTAATGACTTCTGACTTGACTTGATAAAATCTATTAAGACTCACAACGACTCAGACTTGAGTGCCAATGACTTGCGACTTGAATCGACTTGCATTTGTTCACTTGATGACTTGAGCATATTTGACATTTTAGCACTAAAGTGGCACAACATGGACAAAAATCCTAAATCATTCTCCATTCTGGGTTTGATGTTGTACCTCTAAATGCAGCAGCACTTTGTTTATAATTCAGTTGCACGTTCTGCTTGTTTGAGCAAATAAATGAAGCTTTAAGAAGTTTTATTTCTAGAATTTATTTATTATGATTGTCATTAAATTGAAGTTGGACAGATGACTTGATTATGACTTGAAACTTCAAAGTTAAGGACTTGGACTTGACTTGGACTTCCACATCATTGACTTTGGACTCGACTTCGACTTGGTTGTCTTTGACTTGGACTTGACTGAAAAGACTTGTGACTTACTTGTGACTTGCAAAGCAGTGACTTGGTCACACCTCTCCTGGAAGCTAAAGATGAGTATATTAGAGCATCCTGGTGCAATAAGCTAAACTTTTATGAACGACCCGATTAGTCGACTAATCGCCAGTTTTGTTGGCGATTAGTCGACTAATCGTCAACAAAACTGGCGATTAGTCGGTTATTAAAATAGTTGTTTGTGGCAATCCTAAAGATGTCGCAGCAAGAAGAGACGGAGAAAAATAAAAATACCAAAAATAAAACGGCCAGGGCTGCACATAAAATATATTTTCTACAATTTTTTAAATATTTTTTAATAATTATCTATATTGATGAATATAAAAACATTTTTAACGAACTGCGCTGCTCTGGGCGGCTGCATGTTGGAGTAGCTCTGTTGACTGTATGTAAATTTAGCCTTTTCTTGGGCATTTTTTCTTCTAGTTTCTCAAGAAAATCTGTATTTGTTTTGACATTTTACTTTTCCGTTTCTGGTGCTGTGAAGCTTGGAGGATTTTTACTGCTATTTTTTAGGTTTTCTCAATTTTTGAGCATTTTTTATGATGCGTAACCATGGCAACAAGCTGGTTTACAATCAGGAACAACTGATTAACATTGGAAAGGCTGAAATAATACCTCAACTGAAGCCACAAATCCCAAATGAGCTAAAACGCAAGAAGCGTGGGTGCAGAGCGGGAGCAAAACAGAGATGGAGAAAGAGGAAATTCAAACCGTCTCTTCCATCGATCATAATGGGCAATGTGAGATCACTGCCCAACAAGATGGAGGAACTCCAAGCCCTTTCAAGGACTCAGCCAGAGTTTCGGCAGTTTCGGAACCGCTGGAGGAGATAATGCAAAGAAGGATTCTCCAGAGAATCAAGAAAATGATGGACAACCCTGAGCTTTCTCTTCACAAGACTGTCCGACAATGAAAGAGTGTCTTCAGTCAGAGGCTTCTTCAGTTTGGCTGCAACACTGACCGCTACTGGAGATCCTTCCTGCCAACAGCCATTGTAATATACAACAACTCTTTGATGACTTGATTATTATTATTATTCTGAGCTACTACAGCAATCAATTTCCCTCTGGGATTAATAAAGTAGTTTTGAATTTGAATTTGAATATTTTTCTATATCGTCCAGCCCTACACTAGCGTTTTTTTATTATTGCAGAAGGCATTCTGCTTTCATTTCTGTTGTGATCCAATGACAGGTGTGTCGGTGCTACGCGTTTCCTTACCTTTTACAATTTTATTTATAGTCATATTGTAACCTATGCAATCTTTTAGCACAGGGGAGATCCATGATCCCATCAGCAACACATTTTAGTCACTAATAAACCAGGTTTCCTTGTGAGTGACGTCAGAATCAGGTTCTATTTCCTGGTTTTACTTCTTTGGTTAAACACTTTCGGTTTTCCCCAGCATGAAATGACTTTTGGGTCCTTAAACACAGTCACCAAAATGATTTCTTTATTTTGGCAAAGGCAAACTCTACAGAAAATATTCTTATTAAGCTAATAATCGTTTTGCAGACCTCAGTGACGGTTAGTAGGAAAGCCTTGGAGCTGAATTAAAGGCAAGGTAGCTTATAGCACATTTCAAACAAAGGGCAATTCAATATGCTTTACAATTAGCATGAAATGTCACAACAACAACAAACATGAGAACCCAAATAAATTTATAATTTAGAGCTAAAAGGAAAAGACAGAATTAAGGTTGAGTAATCAGAGATTAGACAGCGGAGACGATGCAGCACAAGAAACAATTCATTCAAAAGCTAATGAGTATCTTATATAGAAAAAACACACATGATAGAAAGGATCCAGAAATAATTTAAGGCTTGATTAAAAACAGAATTTACCTCTTTATCCTCAAGATGCACTGCTGGGAAGCCTTTTCGTTGTCCCAGTCTGTGCTGAGGGTCGGATCCCAGGAAGTGGCGTGGATCTGGGACAAGAGGCCCCCTCCTGCCACCCCTAGCCCCACGGTGGGCAGAGAGGAGGACGCGTGCACAATCGGAGACACTGCCATAAAAGGTGGTGATGACCCCGTAATAAAGGTGTTTCCAAAGCCGACAGCAGACGCGACAGGAGCCAAAGCAGTTAGGCCACTCTGTGCGGTGGTGGCGGGTGGAGGAGAGGCCGAGTTGGCGCTGGCGTTTACACCGCTTGCTGCTGAGTGTCCCTCGGGAAGAGAGTTGGCCAAAGTCGGCAGAGGAAAGGTTCCACTGCCTTGTTCGGTGACGCCTAAACCAAAGGCACCACTGCCACACTCCTCTCCAAAGCTATCCGCCATGGCTCACGAGCTAGCAAGCTAGTGTAAATCCGCTGCTGCCTACCTTGCAACGCTAGGTGTTAGCCTCATTGGTAATAGAGTCTGAAGTGACCTCCGAGTGTTTCATTTCTCATTGTGATCAGAGAACAGGCAGGCAGGTAGGAGGCATGGCAGGGCTTCCCGCGGATGATGGCTACGTATTATTTGCTAAACTGTATTTATTCCTCCCGGGCCTCCAGAGAGTTCCGTGTTTAGCAGAGCCGCAGCACCCACCTGGTTACAGACATGAACACCAAAGGTGTTGTTAACTCGTTGGTTATCTGAGGAAACAGGATGTTAAATGGCTATCAACTCAACACATAAGCGCCGTTCGAGCAACATACCACAACTTCAAGGGTTTTTTCCTCATGTCAAGTTTGTTGTTACGGTAACGACGTAACATCCGGTCAGGACTTCAAAGTAAACGTCCAATTTAAACGCTTTACTTCATGTTAAACCTACAGGTGAACCTCGAAAAACGAGAATCTGGAGCAAAAATGCATCAGTGTCAGTAATACAACCTAAAAGGTGAAACGATGACACAGATTCGTTCCACGCAAATCCAGATGTTTCAGCCTTTATTTCTTATAACTGTGATGATTACAGCTGAAAACCCTGAATATCAGACTGTGATCATACGTGATTACGCAAAGCATTATGGGATGTGTGCGGACATGTTGGAAGCTTGACAAGTGTAAACAAAGCGTGAAACAAACAGTACTGTCGCAGAGAAGAAGTGGATTTGGGTGAAAGAAAGTGTTAAACAACATTATAAAATCCCTAAAGGATGCGGAATAAACAGGGATATGTTATAGAAATATGTCGGGGACCGGAATGTGGACAAAATCAGACTTATAAATGGTTTGGATCCATATGATAAACCTAAGACTGGAGCACCAATGACACATTTTTTATCGCTGCAGTTCTGCATAACGAACATTTTCGGCTATCTTGTTTGTGGTGTGATGTAAATGTCCAGATGAGAGGTAAACATTTTATTTGCAGGATTTTCTAGTAAAACAATCAAAATTGTTATCCTATAGAAGAAGTGTAGCAGGAGAAGTTGTGTTGTGTGTCAGCGCGCCCGCATTAGCTTACCGGTATGCGAGTGCAGCCTCTGTGTGTGTGTGTGTGTGTCCGTGCGTGCGTGTGTGTGTGTGTGTGTGTGTGTGTGTGTGTAGACAAATAAAAACTTGAATGTATGTGGACATTTTAGCATAACCAGATAACAGAGTGAATGAGTCTTTGAAATATAATGCTTAATGTTTTATATAATCATGTGATTGTCCCATATATGCTGGATTGCACTGAAATTTGTGGATTACATATAAACATACACTAATCCATTTATGATTTTACAAAAAATTAGCAATCATTAGTCTAAGTAGTCAGAGCTCCAACCAATGCATTATTGGCTGTGGTACAAATATTAAAATTGGGCGATCTGGCTGATTATAGGACTCTACAATTGGTCTATAAAGCTCATATGAAATCAACTATCTAAGCCAGTGGTTCCCAAACTTATTTAGCCGCGCACCCCCTTCTATGTCCCGACCATGTCGACGCCCCCCCCCCCCCCCCCCCCCCCCCCCCCCCCCCAGCCCCCACATCGGGGCATGGCTCTCTCTCTCTCTCTCTCTCTCTCTCTATCTATCTATCTATCTATCTATATCTATCTCTATATATATATATATATATATATATATATATATATATATATATCAGATGTCAAGCTAAACAGACAGGGTTAAAAAATACCCCATCACTTTCATTTTTTAAATAGTAATTAATAAACATTCGATACCATTACAATTTCCTTTGATTTCATTTTAAATAAATATTTAGAGTGCCCAGGTAGCACATAAAGAATGCAATTTAACGGTTTTCTTAAAGTAGGAACGTTTAACCTGTGCGACCAGAGCGCTCTCCTTCCGTCTGCTCTGCGTAAACCTGAGCTGATCACCTACTTGTGCGTAATCAAATGTCAATAGGGGACAAGATATAGCCATGATGTTCACTTTTACCTCAGACCGACTTATTGCTGTTTCATGGTGTGGCTGAATCTGCGATCCGCTGTCATGCGGACTGGAATAACAAATGCTGCAGTAACATGAGTTGTGGTCAGGTTCATGAGTCACTGGCTGGAGCGGACCCGACTCATCCCAGAAGCTAATATCTTAATTTGACCTTGAATGAAAAATAACCTCTTAAAAGTTTTTATCACGGTGGAGGCAGCGTTTATTTCTGCCTTCAGTCTGACGGCACGCCGGAGTTAAAGCAGCGTGTGCGCTTATTGAATATGTGTGTGTGCGCGAGCGGCACAGCCGCTCAAGTCACCGCGTCTCGCGCTATTTAAACCAATGTTGTAAAATGACTTCTGCCCAGCCCAGATGTGCTCACTTGTGCACCCGTGAGCCATGGTTCTGCCGGAACACGTCTGACCTCTGACAGACGCACTCTGAACTTCAGATCTTCAGCGCGCTGTTAATGGCCTGAATGGGAATCATTTCTTGTTATTTAGTTACATCCACAATGTTCTGTGTGTGAGGTTTACAATGTCAGAACACCTGCATGAGACAGGTGTTAATTACAATCTGCCAGAATGACTCACCACCTTCAGATTTCTCCAACACCGTTAAAAATGATCAAATACGGAACATATCGGCGTGCGCAGGCCAGAGTGCTGAAGCTCGGCACATTGTTATTATGAAGTTAGGGCACATGTGGAGGACACGCACGTGCGCGACGGAACATATCGGCGTGCGCAGGCCAGAGTGCTGAAGCTCGGCGCATTGTTATTATGAAGCTAGGGCACATGTGGAGGACACGCGCAAAAATATACTTGTTTTCAATTACATTTATTGTGCCCACTTACTTTTTCTTTGGCCCACCCACAAATGAGTTTCTGGCTACGCTAATGGTAACATATGACAGACTTCTCTGAGCTCCGCAGCCATTACACTTTTCACCTCGCGCACCCCCTAGCGGCAGCTCGCGCATCCCTGATCTAAGCGAAACCTCAAATCTGGTGTGAGTGGGGCAGATTATATATATATATATATATATATATATATATATATATAAATATATGTGCTGTCCTCGCCCTGTGACTCTTAGTTTCACCTTGCTAGACAGCGAGATAACGATGCTCCAATAACCAGACTTGTTCTCCTTTTTTTGTGCTGATTTATTGAAGAATGGCCTCTGACCATTGCCTTCTCTTTGACCATCGTAAAACTGAAAGTACAAAATACTGTATTAGCTAACTAACATTGTAAACTAGCTTGTTACCCGCTTGCTGCAAGCTAACAAGATAAAACTTTCAAATGTACAAATTATCGTACCATTTTTACATAAAACAAAAGATAATGATCATTTTATCGACACTCATACTTACAGACATATCTCATCCAAGGCAGCAACATTTTAAGGTCCTGTGATGGACAGAAGACGGAAGCTGTCGAGCTCCGAGGGTGTGGTGAGTGGACACCAGCTGGTCCTCATTATGGATAACGAGGCCAGGGAGGATAAAAGGGTGACAGACCTACTGAGAGGTGTGCGTGGTCGACCTGTCATTGTGGCATCGGACTTTGGGGGGTGGGGTCGTTCGCAGCCGGGTAGGGCTGCCGGCGACGAAGATAGCTGAACAGGTGTTTAGTGTTCCAGCACCAGGAGGGAAGGCTGGTCGCCTTCGTTAGACAGTTAGGGCTGGGCATAGGTGATGCCAAGGCCGCGCCGACATCTGCCGCTACAGACTCTGGCAGTGGACTTATGTTGTGGATTTACCCGCCGTCCTCGCAAGCTACACCCCGGGGCGTTGGACGGCGTTGGAAGCTCAGACCCCAGGGATGGGGGTCACACCATCCGTGACAGCTAAGTACCGCTGCTTACGTGACTCATGCTGGACAGTTGGTTTTACAAGAGAGGGCATGGGCCATGGTGTTTTATCGTTGTTTTATTATTGGTTGTGCAATAAAGTGTGTCTTTTATAAGTCGTTGCCTACTGGTGGTGTGTTCAGGTTCTGACCGGAGGGCAAGATATTCTGCCCGTGCTGCCCACGGCTACTTTTATTACACTGGTGTCAGAAGTGGGATCTAGCAATCCAAAATGTCAGAACCTGAAAATAACACACCTCCTCCGTTGAGACCAGCTGAAAATCAGCCCGTGAGCACAGCAGCTCGGCCGATTTTTATGCCGGAGAGCTTTTCCGGTGTTGGCCGCGAATGGGCAGACTGGGTTGGACAATTTGAAATGGCAGCCGATGTAAATAACTGGGATGAGCCCCTTAAGCTGAAGTTTCTGTGTCTTCTGTTGTCTGACAAGGCTCGAGAGGTTTACAATGGCTTGTCGGGGAGCGTTAAAGCTAATTATGCCGTGTTAAAAGAGCAAATGGGGAAGTGTTTGGATCCGTGTGACAGCGCTGATTGGAATAGGGCTGTTTTCTCCGCTCGACGCAGGTGGCATAATGAAAGTGTCCGAGAATTTGGGATGGCATTACGACGGGCTGTCGTTAAAGCTTATCCGACAGTGGATCCCAATATACGAGACATGTTGGCTAAAGATCAGTTTATAGCTCATGAGGGGAATGGAGACATGAGAGTGTGTTTACGGAGCGCCAAGCCCGCGTCGCTTGAAGCAGCCATCGACCTGGCGGCGGAGCTTGAGCTCATTAGGAGCTTGGAGACCAGCTCAGTATCGGACGCAAGAGTGAGGGGGATAACTGTGAAAGATGCTGATGATAAAAGCATTGCTTCGCTAATGGGGGTGGTTGAGAGCTTGAGACAGGAGGTGAAATCCCTCCAGGAAGTGGTGCACACACTGTCAGTACCTGCTGCATCTAGTCCCCACCGTCGTGACGCTCAGAACACAACCTTGCAGCCTAGGCAAGAATATTCCCGGAGGGAAGGAAATGAGAGGTTTGGAGGCTGCTGGGAGTGTGGCTGTAACCGGCATTTACGTCGGGACTGCCCTTACGTGCAGGGAAACTAGAGGGGGCGTGTATCGTGGGTCAAATGCCCGCCCCCTTCTCTGTTGTTGAGACCCCTGTAGGAAGAGGCAATGCTGGGTACTTGAAGGCCAGGATAGGTGAAGCCTTTGCCTCAGTAGACAAGTATGTGACGAGGCTGAAGGAAACATTCACTACGATGGTGGATGCGGTGAAGTGCCATCAGGGCAGAGCATCGGTGCAACAAAGGAGGGCACATGATTTTAGGGCCTCCCGCCGGTTCTACGCGGCAGGTGACTTAGTGTGGGTCAGAAATAAGCTGAGGAGACGAGGGGTGTGTCCCAGGCTTCAGAGGCGAGATAGGGGACCGTTTAGGGTCCTCGAGCGGGTGACAGACGTGTTATACAGGCTAGTACCCGTTGAGGGGGGTCCTGAGAGTGTGATTCATTTCAACCGACTTAAGCCATGCACTTCTCTTCCACTAGTTGCAGCACCGCTGGCTGTGGGGTCCCGAGAGCGAGCGAGGCAGAGTCTGCGTCAGCAGGATGCTACCTGGGAGGACACCAGCAGGGTTCATCGACGGTCTGCAGAGACAAGCAGGTCTGGCGGCGCAAGTGACCCGGCCCCATCACGTGGAGAGGCTGCTTGAGGAGGTGCTGCTGCAGGAGGACCGGAAGGACGTTTCCCTGGGGAGATCGACAGACGTGGAGCTGCGGAACAGCGGGTGGTTCATCAGCCGGATGCCACCTGGGAGGACATCAGCAGGAGTGCTCAACGGTTTTCGGAGACGAAGGGCTCCGGTGATTCAAGCAACCCTGCCCCATTGCATGGAGAGGCTGCTCGAGGGGGTGCGGTTGGAAGAGGATCGGGAGGACGTATCCCTGAGAAGGTCGAGGGACCTGGAGCTGTGGAGCAACGCGTGGTTCGTCAGAGGAGACCCCCTGTTTGGCATAAGGATTATCATGTGGAGATCTAGGACTCGAGGGCGAGTCCTTCAGGACAAAGAGGGGGAGAGTGTGATGGACAGAAGACGGAAGCTGTCGAGCTCCGAGGGTGTGGTGAGTGGACACCAGCTGGTCCTCGTTATGGATAACGAGGCCAGGGAGGATAAAAGGGTGACAGACCTACTGAGAGGTGTGCGTGGTCGACCCGTCATTGTGGCATCGGACTTTGGGGGGTGGGGTCGTTCGCAGCCGGGTAGGACTGCCGGCGACGAAGATAGCTGAACAGGTGTTTAGTGTTCCAGCGCCAGGAGGGAAGGCTGGTCGCCTTCTTTAGACAGTTAGGGCTGGGCATAGGTGATGCCAAGGCCGCGCCGACATCTGCCGCTACGGACTCTGGCAGTGGACTTATGTTGTGGATTTACCCGCCGTCCTCGCAAGCTACACCCCGGGGCGTTGGACGGCGTTGGAAGCTCAGACCCCGGGGATGGGGGTCACACCATCCGTGACAGCTAAGTACCGCTGCTTACGTGACTCATGCTGGACAGTTGGTTTTACAAGAGAGGGCTTGGGCCATGGTGTTTTATCGTTGTGTTTTATTACTGGTTGTGCAATAAAGTGTGTCTTTTATAAGTCGTTGCCTACTGGTGGTGTGTTCAGGTTCTGACCGGAGGACAAGATATTCTGCCCGTGCTGCCCACGGCTACTTTTATTACAGTCCGTATCAGCTTAGAACAATAACATTACGACATCACCTTCCACCATCTTTGATTTCTTCTTCACGTTCTCAATTTTTTTCCCCCAAAGTAACCAAACCTATATTACAAAGCAGCCACTAGAGGGAGCTCCAGGGCAGTTTACAACGATAACATCCAGTTTGAGTTATAAAAGGCAGAACACTCCCCGCCTGGTACAATGCAATTGTGCCACTACAACAAACTTTTCTAATAAACATTTAGAACAGTTACGGCTATTTCAAACACTTATTTATCACTTGATAAAAGCAAAACCAAATCAGCGATGGGTCTCAAAAGCAAATTTTCATTTCCATCTTTCCCAGTCTTTACTTCTGCTTTTCGAACCTTGTTGTCCTTGCTCTCAAATGTCTTTACAACTTTTCCCATGGACCAGTCATTTCTGTGAGCGAGAGCATTTTTCAATAACACAACATCCCCAGCTTTTATGTTTGTTTTATCATCAGTCCATTTTCTCCTTTGCTGTAGTGTTGAAAGATATTCACTTTTCCACTGTTTCCAAAAAGAGTCTGCCAAACACTGTACTTGCTTCCATTGCTTTGAGTAGAGGTCTGGTGGTCCTAAGCTTTCTGTTGGTGCAGATAATGCGTTGACTTTTTGTGTAAGGAGCATTGCTGGGGTGAGAAGGTTTGGTTTGTTTGGATCTGTTGAGACTGGTACAAGTGGTCTTGCATTCATTATTGCCATTACTTCTGCCATGAATGTACTTAACACTTCATGCGTCAGTTGGACATGCACAGCTTTCAACAGAATACCATCTAGGCCGCCTTGCCACTCCAATAAGTCTCTCCCACGATCCACCCATGTGTGATGAGTGTGGAGGATTAAACAACCATGTGCATCCTTTCTCTTGCAGGTATAAGTTTAGTTCTGTGTCCTTGTGATCAATTTGCAACTCATTGCATGCTCCAACAAAATTTGTACCCCTATCAGATCTGAGTATTTGAGCAGGTCCACGGATGCAGAAAAATCTCCTTAACGCATTGATGAAGCTGGATGTCGACATTGATTCAATGAGCTCAATGTGCACAGCTCTCGTGGACATGCAGGTAAAAATAACAGCCCAGCGTTTACTGTCTGCACTTCCTCCTCTGGTGCGACGTGTGGTGACCGTCCAGGGTCCAAAGACATCCAGTCCTACACTAGTGAACGGTGGCATTGGTGTCAGCCTGTCAACAGGCAAATCTGCCATCTTTTGGGTCTGAAGTCGTCCTCGAAGCTTTCGACAGAGAACACATTTGTGAATAACAGAAGAGACGAGCCGTTTACTGCCAATAATCCAAAATCCAGCACTTCTGAGCGCTCCTTCCGTTAGGTGACGCCCCTGATGTGCTACCTTCTCATGATAGTATCTAATAAGAAGGATGGCCACATGATGAGCTTTAGGGATAATGAGTGGATGTTTCTCATCTTTTGTCAGGTTAGAAGGTGTCAATCGACCTCCTAGTCTGAGGAGCCCATCTTCATCAATAACTGGATTTAATCTTTGAAGACAGTTTTGCCTTGGAAGTGGCTGATTTTCTTTTATGCATCTGTACTCTTCTTTAAACGTTTCACTTTGTACTGTGTGAATGATGAACTTTGCTGCTTTAGACACTTCATGTACAGTGTTAGTTTCCCTGAAACACTTCCAGCCTTTACCTTCTGTGTTTGTTTTCTTGAATGATGCTGCCACACGCTTTAGTGAAGCAATAGTGTGACACAATCTCATCCAATGAGAGAATCTTTCAAAACGGCATGGCTCTAGCTGTGTTACTGAGGCTTTGGTAACAAAACTTGTTATATCAGGTCTGATCTCTGCATCTGTGTTGGGATCAATCAGTGTGAAGCTATCACAGTGAGACTTCTCTGTGTCGTGTTGTGTCAAAAAGGAAGGACCACTGAACCAGTTCGTGGAAACCAATGCAGAAGCTGCAATCGGTCTAGTGGCTGTGTCTGCTGGATTGTCACTAGTGGCTATGTAAAACCACTGTGACGGATGTGTAGTCTTTCTGATTCTAATCACTCGGTTTGCCACGTAAGTGTAGAACCTCTTTGTGTTGTTGTGTATGTAACCAAGAACGATTTTACTGTCTGTGAAAAATCTGACAGTGTCTACTTCAATGTCAATCTCATCTCTGATGAGTTCGTACATCTCTACGGCTAACACTGCTGCACATAACTCCAATCTGGGAACAGTGTGAGCGGGTCTTGGGGCTACTTTGGACTTGCCCATGATGAACCCTGTGTGCCACTGACCTTCACCATCAAGAGCTCTCAGATATGCCACTGCTCCTATGGCCATGGTGAAGGAATCTGAGAATATGCACAGTTCTTTTTTCTCAGCAACGGCTTGGGAGAACGGTAGGTAGCACCTCGGTATCTGTAGCCGCTCAAGATCCTTCAATGAGCTTCTCCATTTGCTCCATTCCTCTTCTCTTTCTGCAGGAAGCGATTCATCCCAGTCCTTTTGCTCTGAGGTCAATTCACGTAGAAGAGCTTTTCCCTGCATTGTGATGGGTGACACGAAACCCAGCGGGTCATATAGACTGTTGACAGTGGCCAAGACACCTCTCCTGGTGAACGCCTTTTGTTCAGTGGTGACGCGAAAAGTAAAACAGTCATCTAAGATTCCACAGTAGCCCCAAGCTCCTTTGCAGGGGTATGTCATCCAACTCCAAATCCAAGTCTTTCAGATCCTTGGCTCTCTCAGCAGCAGGAAACGCCTCTACTACCTTGTGGTCATTAGAGGCTATTTTGTGTAGCCTCAAGTTTGACTGTGCCAGCATCTTTCGAGCACTTGTGAGTGTCTCAACAGCTTCTTCCACCGTTGCTGTGGATGCGAGACCATCATCAACATAAAAATGTCTCATCACAAACTGCTTTGCATCTTGTCCGTGCTCTTCTTCTCCCTCGACTGCAGCACACCTCATACAATAAATAGCTACAGCTGGGGAAGGGCTATTCCCAAAAACATGAACCCTCATTCTATAGTCACAAATACCTTTGTCGGGATCGTTAGCTTCATACCAAAGGAATCTCAGATAATCCCTATGATCCTCTCTCACTTCAAAACAATAAAACATTTGTTGCACATCAGCTGAAAATGCTACAAGCTCTTTCCTAAAACGCATAAGGACACCTAGCAGTGTGTTATTTAGATCGGGTCCACTTAATAAGACTTTGTTAAGGGACTGTCCTTGAAATTCTGCACTTGAGTCAAAGACTACTCTCAGCTGATTAGGTTTTTGTGTGTGGTACACACTGAAGGATGGTAAGTACCAGTGTTCTTTGTTTGAGTCCAAAGGTGGAGCGACTTCTGCGTGATCGTTGTCCAGCATGTTTTGAATGAATTCGATATATTGTCTTTTCATTTCAGGGTTCCGCTCCAGTGTCTTTCTGAGAGATTGGAGGCGCTTGAATGCTTGCTCTCTGTTACTTGAAAGCTTTGATCTTGGAGAGCGGAATGGCAAAGGTGCCACCCAGCTGTTGCATGCGTTTTGATACACCTCCTTTTCCATGATGTCAATGAAGTCTTTGTCCTCTACTGACAGTGCTGGTTTGTCATCATCCTTTGTCCTGACAAAAACAGTTTCTCCCAGTTGATTTGTGTTTGTGTTTCCCTTGTCCTTTTTGGGTTTGGGTGCGGTGTTTAACTGGTCTTGATTTGAAACGTGTTAGGACATGGGCAGAGGTATGAAGCACGACCATTCGGAAGAATATGTGTTTTGAGAACACTCACTTTAGAGGGCTTATGCGTCTTCCCCATGCAGGCTTCCCCGACTATAACCCAGCCTAAATCCAAACGCTGCGCATAAGGTGTATTGTGTGGCCCATTGATTTTCTCTCTGACTTTGTGTACTTGTATAATGTCTCTTCCCAACAGCAACAGAATAGGTACTTGTTCTTCTACAGGAGGTACTTTTTCAGCTATCTTCTGTAAGTGTGGGAACTTCATGGCAACCTGTGGAGAGGGAATCTCTCTCCTGTCATCTGGAATCAGGTCGCATTCAATCAGGTTTGGGAGTGGAAGCTTCACTTTACCATCCATTGACTCAATTATGAAGTTTGTTGCCGTTCTGCCGACATTATCCGACAGTCCTGAGCATGTTCTGAGCGTGTAAGTTTCTGAGCGTGTCTTAATATTAAAGAGCTCAAAAAACTGAGACTTAGCTAGTGACTTGTTACTTTGTTCATCAAGCACTGCATACATCTTTCTAGCCCGTTCTTTTTCGCCTTCTGGATATACTACCACAGGACTTATTTTTGAGCACGAATGTGGGCTATCTGCATCACCACAGATTTCTGTGCATTTGGAAACAACTGAGGCAATTGCACTATCCTGTGTCTCCCCGCCATCATCTTTATCAGCTTCAGAGCTCTCTGCTGGAGCAGGGGGTGGACCTGGATGTAGTACTGCTAAATGCCTGTCGCTACCACATTCCATGCATTTTATCTGCGCACTGCAGTCCCTTGCTAGATGTTGAGTAGAACCACAGCATTTAAAACAGATTCTGTTCTCTTTTAAAAATGACTTGCGCTCATCTATGGGCTTTGCTCTGAAACTCTTGCACTTTTTAAGAGGGTGAGGTTTCTTATGTATTGGGCATACCTTGTCAGGGCTTTCTATTAGCTTGCTGTAACTATTTTGAGGTGAACTAGTGTCTGCAGGGATGTCCGTTTTATGTACACTAATCACTTGCCTGTTGCTGCCTCTGAAGCTTTTCTCCTTCTTGAAGCTTGTGTCGGCAGGAGGTGTGATGACAAAGCTTGGGTCGTTTCTTATTTTGGCTTGTTGTCTTACAAACTTTGAAAAGACACTGAAAGGGGGGAAAGCAACTTGATGTTCTTCTTTGTACTTTGCTCCTGTTGCAATCCATTTTTCCTGCAGTCCATAGG